AACTTCTAATTTTTAGGAAACTTTAGCTATTCTGTCAAATGCATTTTAATCTCATCCGGACATATTCCTATTTGTTTCCAATCAAGGGAGTTAGAGGTTAAAATTGTAACTTATTCCTTGTATGTGAAAAATATTCAAAACTTTCCTATTTAATTTTCTTTTATCCTTTCTTTCTTCAGCAGCTGCTGCTACTGGAGGTTCTGTCATCAATGTTGCTGCTCTTTTGGCATCAGGAACACAAGTCACTCCTCAAATAGCCATGGCAGCCCAAATGGCAGCGTTGCAAGCAAAAGCACTGGCAGAGACTGGAATAGCTGTACCTAGTTATTATAACCCAGCAGCAGTCAATCCAATGAAGTTTGCTGAACAAGAGAAAAAACGAAAAATGCTCTGGCAAGGCAAAAAGGAAGGGGTAATTCCCTCTTGCCCCTCTCACCCATTCTTAATATTTTCATGAAATCATTTAATCAGAAGCATCTTATACTTAATAATTTCAAAGTGTATTACTTTCTGCAATCTCGAGTTGAACTAAACTGAATGATGTTGCTTGTTGTCACATATTCTACATTATTATAAGCTACATTTTTGGACTGAAGAAAACCATGGAATATCAGGCTCTGATACCTCTGAGTTCAGGGAACCCCTGCCAGAGTACATAATACAAAGTATGCAAAGTTAAGGTAGCCTGTGTTGTTAGCTCTGTGGTAACAAAGATCTTCAGGGTGAGGTTATTCATTGGCCATCTATTTTTACAGAGCAGTAACCATTGTCTGGAGAAATTATTCATTAATCAAACTCTGAAGCTTGTTGGAAGTTATTGTAATTGTTCAAGTGATGGTCAGAACTTGTTTTGGTGCATCACAACATGAGGGGAGTAAATTCTTTCACTATGTTCCCCATGCTAAGAATGCAAATGCTATACTGAAAATTGAAGTACGGATCTTCCATGAAGCAGTGGAGAACACTGCCACCCATACTCCACTGGGTAGATCCTTAGTGGCACTTTCTGTCTGCTTGTTACTACCTCAGTTGTGATATTGTTGGCAATTTTCTGTAAAAGCTTTTAATCTTAATGTAATCTGTCCTCATTTTTGTTAGGATAAATCACAGTCTGCGGAAATATGGGAAAAATTGAATTTTGGAAACAAGGACCAAAATGTCAAATTTAGAAAGTTAATGGGCATTAAGGTAAGGCATTCCATACTTTTGGTTAGATCTATTTCTGTATCATGGAATACTTAAATCCTTAAAAAAGCATATTTTAAGGCTAATGTTACCAATTTCTGTTGCTAAAATGGTTAAAAACTTGGTATTCAGGGTTTCAAGATCAACTTGAATTCAGATTAAGATGCTAGTGACTTCAGTCAGAAATATTTCTCAGAGAATTCAGAAGCTTTTGAATTTGTTTCCTGGTGTTTCTGGTTAACAAACTGGTCTGGGGATAGAAAAAAGCACTATGCTTTAACTTGGCTCACTTCATAGTCTAGGTGTGGGCTGTGCAGAGTTAGTAAATATTTTCCAAATTTATGCTTGAATTAGTTTTAGGATGGTACTTTCCCTGTAACTATTCATGAGAAATTTAAAAATATACAAGCAACACTCAAGTGATAGCCAGATTGGTAAAGTAGAAACATTCCAGTTTCCATGGGATTTCATCTCTGACTTCATACTAGTAACATCCAAATGTTGATAAGGTTAATTTGTCTGCCTCTTTTTTTTTTTTTTTTTAAAGTTGAGCAAAATGTTGACTGTGTGTAATGAGTATCACATGACAGGAATTTGCATAATTATTTCTATTAATTGCACATTATATCTGAATGTTCTCATGAGCATGTTTAATACTTTTGATGACAATTACTCCCAGCCTCTAAATACATCAGAGTAAAAAGTATATCTTGTGTAGCTGTAAAACAGGTACAGTGTATGAAAATGCTAGTTATTGTTTTTAAATTCCAGGATTTGGCCCCTAAGCATTATCCCATTTATAACATTTTATAAATCGCTTCTTTTTGTCTGATCTCTAGAGTGAGGATGAAGCTGGTTGTAGTTCAGTTGATGAAGAAAGTTATAAAACACTGAAGCAACAGGAAGAAGTATTCAGAAATCTGGATGCCCAGTATGAGATGGCAAGATCACAGACCCACACACAAAGAGGAATGGGATTGGGGTTTACATCTTCCATGCGAGGAATGGATGCAGTTTGAAAGACGTGATTTTAAAGTTTGGGACTTTGTGGAAGATTCTTGTTCTGATGTTGGGTCCTTGTTCTTCACCAAAAAGCTAGCCTTCTAGCTTGCATGGGTGTTGCATTGACTTTAATTTATTGAAAAAGTACAATTTTTTTGTAAATATCAGATCAGTGATACTGGTGTTAGTGTTGTAATCAGGTTATACCCACTTCCATTAAACTTGACAGAACTATAGAAGGACAGTATTTTTTAGTTCAAAAATTTTACTTTTCAAACAAAGCAGCAGATGGGGTAAACTCATACATGGATATTTCGTGTCCACTGTCTTGTGTACTTTTGTACTTTAACCTTGTACAGTTATTTTCAATTCTTGAAACATGAAAGAAGCATTGTGTAGATGTTATCTAGCAGGTTGGGCCAATAGGCACATAATCCAGTGCAAAAACCTGGTTAATAATAAAGATGTTTTTTCTCTAAACTGGTATTTTTAAATTCACTTAAGTTTTTGTTTTAACTGGTTCTTTTTAAGTTTGTCCAATCATTTGGGTTTTTAAATTTATGCTGGGTGTCCAACAAAAAGTGTCATTGTGAGCTCTGTAATGGAATTGGGAAAGAAATTGGCCATGGGGTGTGGAGTTCAACTATAAGTACTGGATATTGACCTTGCACACTCTTTTTTTTCTTTAAAAAAAAAAAAAAAAAAGTTTGTTTGACCATTGTTACTACAAGGTACAGTGTTATTCTTCTGGCTTGCTGGCTGAAATATGCTACTCCACCTAGTTCTCATTTCTGCTTAGTCTTCTGTTTAACTAGGTACCCTCCTTTGATTGCTTGGACCTACAAATTCAGATCTACCATTAGGTGAGTCCTCGACCCCCTAGCTATTTCTGCCACTAAACCAAAGAAAAGCATTTTTTCCCTGCTCACAAAACAAATGATGGGGGTACATCTATCCAAAATGCCTCTAATGCTGACTTGCAAGTCCTTTGGGGTGGCAGAGAGACCTGAAATTTCCCTCTCCCTGGATCCATCTCCAGTGTTGTGGCTTAAGTATGGAACTGAACTGACAAGCAGGAAGTCTCTTGCCACCTTGAGGGACCAGGAGCTGCTAGCTTCCTGATTCCCCTTTACCCCAACAAAAGGATTTGGAGGAAGAGTCCTACTTTCTGAAATCCAAGGTTTCTAGATGGAAGTGATGAAAAATGTATAATTTTACTACCTCCTTTGCACCAGAATTCTTTGCTGAAGTGGCCAGTTATCTGCGTAACTGCTGTTCTTCAACCTTTTCAGCACCTCTCAAATTGTGGCTAGACTGACTTCTAGCTGATATAGGACACCTGGGATGTGAGGAACTTCTTGATGCTTTCCAAAGCTAATCTAACCATGGCCTAAGTTGGCTGAGTTTCTAGTCCTTTACTTTAAAGTGATATAAAACTTCACAGATAAAACATGCTGGGGGTTTTTTTAGTTTTCACATAGCAGGATAGAATGGTTAATTAATGCTTATAAAGCAGGAGGTGAATTAAAAGTGAAGCGTGGGAGTATAAATAGAGAAGGAAAGAATAGGGGCAAAGTTGGACTTTCCTCCTATGATTTCTCTGAAGTGAGTATTCCAATGTAGTCCTTTTCCTAAAATAACTGCCAAACTGCTATCCACACAACTATGCTTTCTCAGAGAATGCCTGTGATTGCAGCTGCACAAGTCAAAGTTCTAAGTAAATTAAGCATTAGGCAGCTGAGTTTTAATTGGCATTCAGTTTTCTGTCACAGCATTCAAAATTCAGAGTGCAGGGCAGTGAAAAGCTGGCATGGTTTTTTATTGTGATAGAATGTGTCACAAGAAACTTGTCATCTTGTTGGTGGTATCCACTATATTATAAACTTGTATTTAAACTAAACTCTGAATGGAACAAAAATTTGTTAGGGATATTATGGAATTGTACAAGTTAACGGAGGTGGAGAAATTAGTTTATAAAACTAGCGATTAATTTTTTCCTTCAGGTAAGCCATATGTGAAAAAGCTAAAAGATCTGTGGCTGTAACCTGTAAATGAAATTTAACTTGCAATTTTAAGTGGCGTTCCAGGGAGTGCACTCATCGCAACTGTCACTGGCTCAATTAATGTGCTAAGGCTGTTTCTGAAAGTTTTAGTAATGCATGGTATTTTTATTAGTTCTGATCTATTTTAGTGCACCAAATTCAACATATGCAGAGGTCTTTAGTC